GGGAGATTATGAAAAAACCAGAGTGCAACTGTCGTATGTCCATTCACTCTGGTTTTGAGAAATAAGCCTTCAAAGTTTAAGATGGCTCCATATTCAAATCAATCACCAACTCATTCATCTAACTGTTACCTATTGTTTGTGTGTAGAATCAATGTTTCAACTTTAAAATTTTCACAGATTGCTGTTTTGCTGTGGAATTGAGAAACCGTTTTTGTTTTAAGAAAACCCAGTTTTCTGAAAAAGAGAACTGAATGCCTCAGAAGTACAAATGTCGTATCTCCATATTAGGTTCTAAATCTCCATAATCTAGTCTAAATTTCATGGCTAAGTCACTCGCCTGCAGAGCTGAATGTCCTCCTTGGCTCAAATCTCACAGGAGGAGATATGAAACCAACGAAACTCATTTTTTTTTCAGAGGTCCAGTGGGCTTTGATACCTGGCTCACATGAAGTCAATGTCCTATCGCGGACTGGTGTTGAAATTTGAGATGGCGTCTCTCAAATAACCTCACTGTGTTGCAAGGGATTTAAATCTCAACTGACGGTCATTCCAGTTGCTTGGGCACACAGGAATCCCCGTGTCCGCAGTCCCGTGCCATGACCTGGTGATCTTATACTAGCTGCACTATTACATAATTTAATGGAAGTGTCTACGTACTCCCCGATTGGGGTCTACGTAGTCATGGTGTCTAGGTGGACCCCAAAAATGTTGGATTGTGATTGGCTCGCTGAGCGAGCGGTAGTTTATATTGGTTACAATGCAAGGCTGCTAGGCCCACTTACTGATCATCTCGGGTAGTATGTCTATCTTGTGTTACTATAATTAATTTATTTTAGCCAAGAGAGAGAGAGAGAGAGAGAGAGAGAGAGAGAGAGAGAGAGAGAGAGAGAGAGAGAGAGAGAGAGAGAGAGAGAGAGAGAGAGAGAGAGAGAGAGAGAGAGAGTATTTAATGAATAAACGTATCTAGATCTAGATCTAGATTTTGTTGTGCACCCAGCCAAGAGTGTGCAGTTCGGTCTAGATTTAGATTCTAGATCTAGATCTAAATAGATCTAGATCTAGACATCTAGATTAGATCTAGATTCTAGGTCTAGATACGTTTATTCATTAAATACTCTCTCTCTTGGCTAAAATAAATAAATTATAGTAACACTAGATCCGCCCGAGATGATCAGTAGCCTTGCATTGTAACCAAAGATAGTACAGCCTACCGTAGGGTGTAGTATCTTTGTTGTACCCAATGTAAACTACCGCTCGCTCAGCGAGCCAATCACAATCCAACATTTTGGGGTCCACCTAGACACCATGACTACGTAGACCCCAATCGGGGAGTACATAGACACTTCCAAATTTAATATCTCTCATTTGACCTTATTGTGACTCAAGGGATTGCCTATGAAACAAAATGCAACAGACAATACCATGAATGCCCTACAAACTTTTCTGTCTCGTCCAACCAAAGACAAAATGGGCAAAGGAAAAAGGGGTAGTGTAATTTTTTTCACTTTTGAGGGAAAAACAAAACGATTTTAAAGTTTGACTTTCTCCTTACTTGCACAGTACATGGTATTTTTAAACATGGTATAGATCTACCTCGTGACTCTCACCCATTTTTCGGCCAGATTTATGTGTGAACAAGTCCATCTGTATGAAATCTCTACTCATTCGCTTATCACACACATTTGAAAACTTGACATTCCTTCTTCTTCCTATGTACCCTTCAAAAGGGTAGATCTATAGTAATAGTATAGTAATAACGAAAATTCCATTTGATGATAAAAACAGCAATCTTCATTGTCCTTTCCAGACACCTTGTTCTCGGCTACTGTGTTCATGAATAACAATAACAGGTACAGTAGCTTTGAAATAAAACACATAACATAATATACAGTGTAAATGAAATACACACACTCTCTCTCTCTCCCTCTCTCTCTCTCTCTCTCTCTCTCTCTCTCTCTCTCTCACACACACACACACACACAGAGTCACACACACACACACACATACACACGTACATACGTACCTACGTACATACGTACAGGCGTACATACAGACATACATACAGACATACATACAGACATATATACATACATACTTACATACACACACACTCATACACAGACACATACACACACATACACACGCACACACACACACACGTGCATACGTACATACCTACATACGTACGTACATACATACATACATACATACATACATACATACATACATACATACATACATACATACATACATACATACATACATACATACATACATACATACATACATACATACATACATACATACATACATACATACATACATACATACATACATACATACATACATACATACATACATACATACATACATACATACAGACAGACATACATACATACAGACATACAGACATACAGACATACAATTTTGTATTGCTTTTAATCATAATTTACGTCTTTTCAACAAGCGCGTCTCATGACCGCATGAGCTGTTTATTTCGTTACAGAACATAAATCTAGATACTTCCAGTTTTTGTTGCCCCACCAGGAAAGGGGGTGACAACTTGCCAATATCAAATCTGTATTACAACTTGCCAATATCAAATCTGTATTACAACTTGCCAATATCAAATCTGTATTACAACTTGCCAATATCAAATCTGTATTACAACTTGCCAATATCAAATCTGTATTACAACTTGCCAATATCAAATCTGTATTACAACTTGCCAATATCAAATCTGTATTACAACTTGCCAATATCAAATCTGTATTACAACGTGCCAATATCAAATCTGTATTACAACTTGCCAATATCAAATCTGTATTACAACTTGCCAATATCAAATCTGTATTACAACGTGCCAATATCAAATCTGTATTACAACTTGCCCTCATTTTTGCGCCCCTTTTAAGTGCGGTCATGCGTGCCGGTGTATTTATTGCCTCGTTGACGAACACCTTTGCAAGACCACGATGCACAATGATTCTTCTATTCTGCGTATGTGAGATGCGTGCATGTGTACTTATAAGCATAATATAATTATAAACCCAACTGTTGTGCTTATAATTTTAGGCCTATATTCTTTTTTTCCAGAGTAAAAGTAAAAGGCCTAATTTTTTTTCCAGATGTCAAGCCTTTTCGAATGCAATTCTTTGAATATATCTTGATAACATCTCAGAATAATCTTACGATTTTAGTAGAGCAAATAGAACATTTGATCTCTGATGTCATGGTCTTAGTAACCCAAAACGACCCAAAAAAATTCAGATAGAACTTTATAATTCTGAGACGAAATGTTCAAATAATCAAGCCTCCGCCATTTAAAAAAAGATTCCTTTTTTTAAAAAATGTCAACAAATGATAACATCACGACATTGAGAGATGTCTTTCTTAAATAGGGCACAATTTTTGCAATTCTTCCTATCTGTAAATGTATTATGCAGCCTTACAAAATTTTGGCACGGTCCATTTTTTGGGGGCCTTTGTTGTAAAAACGATTTTTTTTTATAGTACATGTAAAGGGATTTACAGCACTCGCAACTGCATAAGGTCATATAAGCGCCAAGGGGTGGGTGTCAACAGAGAAGTCTTTACAGGGAATCAGACTTAGACTGCACACCTCTCTAGCTTCAACAGCACAAAGTCTGCTTCGACTATCAAGGCACCCCAAAATAGCAGGTCACAAGATAGTGACAAACATACAAAAGAAGTAGAGGAAAATGACAATAGTAAGAATCAGGAAAGAAAAAGCAGCAGTTCCCTGTTGTAGATCAGGACAGTTATGAGCGTGACAAAAGTCACCCCATTTACAATTCTACTATGCTTGAACGAGAAATGTCCCCCCTTTGGGAATGGCCTAAAGATACTACAGTCAGTGGCACTGCCCCGGGGGGTAAAAACCACTTTCCCATTTCCAACAACACGACAATGAGCCCAATCGAATGGCGCCAATAAAGTTTTTGGGTTGCAAAAAGATACTTCAGATTCATTCTCGTGAAACCCCAGTCTGTTGGATGTCATCCGGGTTTTTACATCGTTCACACTTTTTCGTCATGCTTTGAGATAATAAATGCTTGTAGCGTGGGTCAAGTCATGTTCAGCTGAATATCCTCTGCATGTATGTGCCAGGAATTACGGTAAGTTCTTATAGCGAGTGGAGAAAACGACTAACTTGCTTAATAGCATCTGTGACACTGGAAATATTCCCAGCGACGATATGTGAGGCAGCGTGCTGGAATCAGGCGCTCGTCAATTTTTGGGCTTATTGAGTTATTGGTATCATTTAAAGCTTGTTCATTTGTCTTGCTTTCAATGAAAAAATTACCCAGTCATCTTCAATAGAAGTGAAGATATTTTGGATTGAAGGAGGTGGGGGTCACCTGATTTAAGAGGTAAAAATAGCGAGAAAATGGCCACTAAAGCTTAGTAAATTCCAAAGCTGGAGAGTCCACGGAAACTGTAAATTTATATTTGTGTGCCTTTTAATCAACGTTTTCTGTGAAATCCTCAAAGGAATGTGTTTGTAAATGGACTTAAAAGGTGTGAGCCAAAAAACAAAAATTTGATAAAAATTGCAAAGCAGTGAGAAAACTGCTGTTTTCTTCGATTTCATTATTTAGACGAGAGCCTGTTTTCACCACACTGCCTCACATATGATTACATCTGCTCCCATAACGTTAGCCCCACTGCCCCCCCCCCAAAAAAAATATACATTGTATTTAAAAACCCAACTAAATAAATAATGGAGAACTGTAATCATTTACCCCAACCTCTCCTCTTTTCAAACCAATCAATCAAGTATACTTAACTTTATGCATCTAAGGAAATTATATAGAACGGCACACTACTTTGTATTTGTTGTATTACTCAGCAGCAATTCGCATATCTTCAGGCGTTGCACAAGGAGGGGCGGTGCAACTTGTATGCATATGTTGACCTTCAAGGCCACAAGCATTCGTGTCTCTGTTATCACGGATGGTCTGGTTTCCAACGGGCGTCTTGATCTCGTCCTGTCGTATCATATATAATATAACTTGTCTCCCTTTTTACCGGCTGCACTTTTCAACGTTAGCCGTGGCCAGTACTGTTAGTGGAAAGACCTTGCTCAAGACAACCTACTTTTTCCGTAATAGTAAAGCCTCATCCCAGATTTGCTAGCCTCTGACTGCAGGTGGGTTTCTTTCTATTTGAATTTGAACGTGCTTCTCCCATTGATCAATAATAATTATGCAGGGTTCAAACAAGTTTACCTCTGACAGAAGATAGCTCAGTCGAATTTGTGCCGGATTCCACGTAAAAAAGTTGGGTCCTGACCATCAGGTAGGAACAATAAAACCAAATGAAAAAGAAAGGGAAATTTTGCTAATTATAAAGGCTTCTGCCCTTTAACTACAGAATGATTTATTGGTGCTTTGATTGTAAAGAAGGCGACAAACACTTTGATCAAAGTTAGTTTGCTTCTGTCATGAGCATTTTCACTGTATTTCCAATTATTATTTTCGGGTAAAGATGCTGATAAAAGAGCTTATATTTCTATTTGAATATCAATATGATAAAGTCAATAAAGATTGAGCCCCGTTCACTCTATTCAAAATTGTATACATGGCGCGCGTTTTGACAACATATTGGTTAAACATATCAATATTTCGATCGAGTCTGGATGTGTGCCTCTGTCTCAACTGGAAACGCTATGGTATCCAGTCGTCATGCGTGTTCACATACCATTAAAAGGCCGCGTGTCCACCAAGGCAGAAATGACCCGATTTTTTGTTGGGACATAGCAACTCAGTCTGTTTGTGTCCGGCGTGCGTGTCCACGAACGTGTGAGTAGCTCTGACGACACTGTGTAATTTCTCGTTATCGGGCTATAAATTGCCAAGGGGTCAACGAACGCGAGGCGGAAATAAGAAATTAACGGATCTGTAAAAATTAAGATGATAGCAGAACCACTAGCGTTTTGCATTTAAACCAGATGGTTTGTGCGTAGAGTTTTCTAATTTTGAGGTGATGATTACGAATATAATATTATATTTTTAATCCAAATTAAAAGTTTTTTTGGGTGCTCTGGCTGGGACTAGGGCTGATGAGTCATTACACGGCCAGACTAAAATGCGGCATGAGACATTCCAACCGATCCATCTTTTGTTGGGAGGTGTCATGTCTTTTTGATGGACACGTCCAAAAGAAATCGTCGTAGATTGCTTAGGTAAAAATTGGTGCTCTATTTCAACTGATGACTTCGTGATAAACGGACGACTTACAGTCTGGTGGTTTCTGGTTTGATGGACACGCGGTCTCAGGCCGAAATTATACTAGCTCGGTCCGCCTGGTGTCAGCAAATTGAAGGCGATTGAAGGATGCAAAAAACATAACTGTACTGCATCTGCTATTCCGTTGTCTCTGGGGATTTACCTAATTTGATACAATGGTGCTGTCTAAGGAACCCTGATTAGCCTTGCTGTTGTATTTGTGAAAAGGGAGGAGCAGAGACGACGATTAGCGTCGGTTCATCCTATAAACAGATCCAGAAACGAGTGTGGTGAATATCAGTCCTTAATGACCCAGCACACTCAGAAAAGGAGACTAAAAAAAGGACCTTCAATCGCTTCTAGATACTGCTGTAACGAAAAGTGAACGTAAAGGGTTATTGTTGAATGTGAAGTAAACAGAATGCTTGGTGATATGTCAAAAAAGTTAACAAATCCTATTTGTAATCTCATGCAAAGGTGAAAAGATCAAACAAGTCCAACACAGTGCCCAAGATCCTGACCTTAGTAATGCCGGTAATTTACCTTTCAACAATTTTGATAAAACCTTCAAAGTTGTTTTTGTCCCTCAAACAGATTAGTTTCAGCTTCGTGTGTGTTCTTAGATCTCAGAACAAAATTTAATAAGAAGTGATCTGTATTTCAGGAAGTAGTTGAGTCATCAAGCTTCAGTCTAATGTGACTAGATTTCTCTGAAATTCCAACTCTATGACAGACTGATCGTATCTTAATTTTATGATTGTTATTCCTGTTGTACTAAAGTTTGATACGTTATACTGCTAGGTCATATTTGAGTTACTGTTGTAATCTGCTTGTGATATGTGTACATGTTGTGTGTTGTTTGAGTCACGTCTACGTCATGTTCATGTCACGTTTATGTCGTTTTATATTTCTGTGATATTTGACTCATGTCTAAGTCCTTTTCGGCGTCGTTAGCCTAGTGGTTAGGCTCCCGGACTCGTAATCGTGAGATTGTGGGTTAGGGGGTTCGAGCCTCAGCTCGGTCCGACGTTGTGTCCTTGGGAAAGACACTTTACGCCAACTTTCCCACTTGTTTCCGTCCTTTCGGAGGTGGACGTTAAACTCGGAGGTCCCGCTTCTTCAACAAACAAACAGTGTAGATAGGGATGTTAAACCTATACCATTTCACCATTTCACCATGAGTCTGGTTTGCGACTTATTTGTGTTGTATTATATGATATCTGACTCACATCTAGAGAAAATGTTTGTGAAACATTAAAAAAATTGCGCTGTATTTGTGTGATCTTCGGCTAATGCTTGTGTTGTATTTATGTACTATTTGTGTGGTGTTCGTGTTTCAGCTGACTCTAAGGTTTCATCATGTCCAAGTTGGAACACGCCCTGAGTCATTATGACCCGACCGTGCTAGAAATGCAGCGTGCTCTCAAGTTAGCCCAGGACACGGGAGCTTCCCCAGATGTGGTTCTGTCCATCGAGACGGCGTTGGAGCTGGTAGACTTACGGGAGAAGTACACAGATTCGGTCACCACTGGGGAGACGGAAGTTTTCCACCAAATCCTCACGGAGACCTACACACATGACTGGAAAAGTTTGCGCACTGACGGAACGATTACGTATAACCTGTCACCCATAATGTTGACGGGAAATTTAGAAGGTTGGAATGTCTTGTTAAAATAAATAAGAAAATAATAAATAAATATATGAATAAATTAATATATAAACGAATAAATAAATAAATAAATAAATAAATAAATAAATAAATAAATAAATAAATAAATAAATAAATAAATAAATAAATAAATAAATAAATAAATAAATATAGAAGTTGACCTTAACAACTAAGTTTCTTGTTTTGTTTTTAAATCTGTTTTAGGGGAAGCTGTCAATTTCCTTTGTATTGCCAATTCTCACTCAAAAGCAAGCTCTGCGCGCTTTACAACCTTTGTATTTTTATGTGCACACTATTCACAGGTCAGTTTCTAAAGTCTATGGTGAGCATTCAGAATGCAAAGCGTGTCCTGGACATCGGCATGTTCACTGGGTATAGTGCACTGTCCATGGCTGAGGCCCTACCTGGTACGTCTGTCTTCAGCTCCAAATTTTCACCACTGATATTTTGTGACTTCGTGATCATTCTGTATTATTCGTTTTGTTATCCCAGCACATTCTGCTATAGTTGCATAGTTATTTTAATGTTTTAAAATATTGGGGAAGATCTCTTTGTCTAGTTACTATTAAAATAAAATTCTTGCGATTCTTGTGTGTGCAAGTTACCAGATCATTAGGCGGAAAAGATGCGTCAGGCCACCCACCATACAGACGTTGCTTGTAATAATTCTTTGATATCGGATTGCTGGCCTTTTCCTTCTTGTATTGATTGTATGTCTATTCTATACAACTGTTTTCAACTGATATGAAAATGAAACTGAATACGAGATCCATTAGTGAATTCAGTTTCTCATGTCCATAAAATATGCGATGCTAAATCGACAGCTATGAAACAAGGCATACATTACAGTAACCCTTTTAACATTATTCTGTAAAGGTTTATTGCCAAAATACTGAACAACCATTGGATCCCACATAATTTTGTAATATGTACCCCTTTGAGAACTCAGTAGCTAGCAAAGCAAATACTGAAATGACGAAAGAATAGTTTTTAAGATATGATCTCCAAATTATACAATTTTCAGTTCCTTTGGTTAAGTCAACATTAGAAACACACAAAGACCAGCTCACTGCCCTTGGAGATTCTGTTAAGACGATATGAAATGGGCGAAAGCTGCAGTGTGCAGCATGCAGTTTGGAATGCGTTCAAATACATGTACAATAAGTAATGTATGATGTCAACAAACGTTGCCGTATTTCTGTCTGCAGCTGATGGAGAGCTCGTGACTGTGGATTTTGAAAGGTATCTGGAGAACTTCACCGGAGATCTGCTTCGGGAGTCGCCTCATTCCAAGAAAATAAAAATCTTTATCGGTGAGTTTCTATCGTTTTCTTTCTTTTGGGTTCCAAGACTCTGGGGTTGCCAGTTGTGTACATTTATTTTGTTTTGATTTATTTTGTTTGGGTTAAAGAGAAAGACACAGATAGATACAATAATGGTTTACAAAAGCTTGGAAAAAAGCAAGATGGATTGACAGTCGGCTGTGGGTCTTCCTACCACCCCCCCCACCCCATACATCACCATGTGTGTGGTCTTTTCACAACTCACTTAGATCTACCTACTCTCTCCCGATCTTGAAAAATGGCGGCCATTTTGAAAAAAATTGCGTGGTAAACGTTGGATTTATGAACAAGCATGTCTTAATTGATATATGTATGCCAATTTTGGTGCTTGTATGACAATGTGAACGATTCGGCTGATTTTTGCACTTAGCTGCCCCACTAGATACCGTCATGCACATAAGGCGGAGAGCAGTCGACGCCACGTTTGCCTGTCCCTGGCAACGTCCTCCAATTTGAGCCCATCCAGGCATTGGGTGATTGCTTCATCCCTTATTGTGCCTCTATAGCTTCCAGTTGGTCTTCTTCGTTTTCTTTTTCCAGTTGGGTCACCAATACCATGTCTGACATGGCAATCTTGTCTTTGGCATTCTTAGAACATATACTAAATACATTTTTGTATGATCTCCATGTTCTCCTTTTTAAGATTGTGTTGATATCTTCAAATCCAGCTCTTCCCAACACTTCATTTATTTGTAATAAATTCATTCCATTTTATTATAAAATTATTTTACAAACATTTTATTTAGAATGTTTTAAATTTTCGTCGAATTGTTTTGTTTGTTTCTCATATCTCTGAACACCTGGTCAAGATGCTCTTTCTCTACACTGGTCAAGTTATTCTTTATCTTTCTCCTCTGGTCAATATGTTCTTTCACGTTATCTCTTCCTGTCAAGATGCCCTTTAACGCCCTCTCTACTAGTAATTCTTTATCTCCCTTTCCACTGGCCACGACGTTCTCTCTCTCTCTCTCTCTCTCTCTCTCTCTCTCTCTCTCTCTCTCTCTCTCTCTCCA